TAATAGGGGTGTGTACATTGGATACTTTTTCCTCCATTCTTGTGATACTTTGCTCAGAAGAATATTCTCCAGCTCCATCCATGTGAACATGAAGGACATAAAGTCTCCACCATCCCCCCTTTTCTCCCTTTCTTTTCATTCCTTCCTCTCTCTCCTTTCTTCCTCCTCTTGAATTCACTGAGATATTTTCTAAGTTCATTTTTTTCTTCTAGTGTCTCAAGTTACCTTCATTTCTGTTTTTCCATTGATGAGCCTCATTAAAGCTTTGTGGTATTTGAGACATACTTGAGAATAATTAAAAGTCTTCCTCTCCTCCAGAAAAGTGGGAGGATTTTAGACTTAATAAAATACTTTAATACCCATGTCCTGGGTGGCATGCATTCATGGGCTATATCTTAGTTCTGTTGAAAATTTTCAAAAATTCTGTATATTAAACATTTAAATTACTGCTTTTACTATCAGTATTTACTTCTCTGTATCCACATCTCCCTTTACTTGCTATTTTTCTTTGTATCTCAGAATATTATTCTGAGATCATTTTCCTTTTTTATGAAGTCTGTCCTTCAAATTCTTTTAGTTCAGGTTTGTTTGTGGTAAAATCTCTGAGGGTTTTCTTTGACAATATTTTTAGTTTACCTTCTTGGCTGAAAGTATTTTTTACTGGAAATACTAAGCTTATTATTATTTTCTTTCTGTACTTGGAAGATGTAGTTTCCTTGTCTTGTGATTTCACTTTTGTTATTTAGAGCCCAGCTTTCAGTGTAATTACTCTTTTGTAGGTAATATGTTTTTCTGTCTGGCTACTTATAGAATCTTTCTTTTTTTTTGTCTTTGGTTTTCTACAGTTTGTGATATGTGTAGATTTATATTTATTCTTATTTGTCTTCTTTGAGTTTTTTTATGCCATCTTAATTTGAGGATTTATATTTACTTATTTCTGTAAAAATCTCAGCCATTACATTTTTGAAAATTTTTTTCTCTTCATTCTTTTCTATTCTTTTTTATGGAACCATAATTGGAAGAATGTTGCACTTCCTCACTTTAGCCTCCATGTATATTAACCTCTCTTTTATCTGTTTTTATTTTTTGGCTCTGGTTTCTTTAGCTCTGTTTTCTATTTAATGTTTCTCTTTTGCCATGTACCTAGTTATTCTTGAGTTTCATGTTGAGACTATTATAGTTTTTGTTTTTGTAAATTCTACCTTTTTTTCTGTGTGTGAGACAGTCTTACAAAAGACAAGGGTAGAGTGCTGTGGCATCATAGCTCATAGCTCACAACTCCTGAACTCAATTGATCCTCTTGTCTAGGCCTCCCTAGTAGCTGGGACTACAGGCACCCACCATAAGACCTGGCTAGTTATTCTACTTTTAGTAGAGATGGGGTCTTGCTCTTGCTCTTGCTCAGGCTTGTCTCGAATTCCTGAGCTCAAGTAATCTACCAGCCTCAGCCTCCCAGAGAGCTAGGATTACAGGTGAGAGCCAACGTGCCTGGCCTGTACTGCTATTTTGAATTGCTTAATTATTATGATTTTTTATTATGAGTTCACTTTTGTTATTATGCTGTTGGTGGGGATTCTTTGAAGAACAGGTTGAGGATCCTTTCCTTTAATGTTTAGGAAACTGGGGGAGCTCCTCTCTAATTACTGGCTTGGAGATTTTTCAGTCCTGTCAACATGTGAATGCATGCTCAGGTCAAAAGTTGATTCTTTTTTATTTTTCTGCAGGGGTTGTGATCTGAATGCCTGTCTGCCTGAGGTTTTTCCTTTGTCCCTCTGTATGAGTCCTCTTTAACTGCAGTCCTGGGCTTCTGAAATCTCCTATCTTCTTGCACTTATCTCCTGGAATTTGTGCTCTCACTTCCTTCCTGATAAGAATGTTTTTTTCTTTCATTTCTTTAGCTCATTAATTATTTTAAAAGCTTTATATAATATCTGTATAGCCTTTTTTATTGCTTCGCTGTGTGAAATGTTTGGGGTCTCTGCAGTATTTTTAGGTACCATAGTCCTGTAGCTTCCAACTTTCATTAGACTCTGCGTTGCCAGTTGCAGTTCAGTTTCTGAAAGAGCTTATAACATCCTATTTTCTCAAACTGCTTTTGTTGTTTGGGATGGCAGAGGCTGTAGTGTTTCTTCTTCATCCCTCATGTTGCTTATTTAGAGGTCTTTATTATCTGACCTGGCTACTCAGATTCATGTTTAATGTTCATTGAATAAAAAGATAACATTAGATTTTAGGTGGATGAATTTGAACTTTACGAGTACAGTACACCCATGGATTGACGATTACTTGTAATGCTGGATTGGTAATAAAAGGGATGAGTCAGTGAATATAACTGGTTTGTGAAGTTTCCTGTGGAACCTCTCTGCATTCATATCTGTTGATCACACATATGTGAGCCTGGGAATGGTAGTATTATGTGATATCATTGCTAAAGTGTCCCATTTCCCTGTAGACAAATATTCGTTTCTTATACTCACTATACTTATTATCCAAATTGTGGGATTGGACATCTGAAATGTAAGGAAGCCTCTAGATACAGTGAGGTCTTCTTCACTAGGAGATGGGTTCAGGGTGAAGTACAGCGTGGATGGAGCCATGTCTCAACACCACCTTGTTTTGCACTCCAGGCTCATGCTGATGTCCCTGTACAACGTGAGCATCAATTTGAAAGGCTTGAAATACATCAGTGAGAGTCCAGGATTCATCCCTTTGCTGTGGTGGCTTTTGAGTGGTAAGTGGGGGTTATTTGTGCAGCTCCTCATACAGTTCATATAGTAGTTCCCCCCAATCCATGGGGTATACATTCGAAGACGCTCAGTGGATGCCTGAGACTGCAGATGGTACTAAACCCTATATAGCCGGTGTTTCTTTCTATACATAAACACCTATGATAAAGTTTAATTTATAATTAGGCACAGTAAGAGATTGACAACAATAATCAACAGTAAAACAGCAATAACAATAATTACTCTTTGGGACCATTATTAAGTAAAATAAAGATGACTTGAAATACTGCAACAATTGATATGACAGCTTAGACAGCTGCTGAGTGATTGGTAGGTGCTCAGCATGTGCACCACGGACATGATGGACAAAGCTATGATGCACAGTCCTGTTAGGACGGGGCAGGCAGCTTGAGATTTTATAACACTACTCCCAGAATGGTGTGCAATTTAAAACTGATGAATTGTTTACTTCTAGAATTTTCCATTTAATATTTCCAGACAGTGATTGACTATGTGTAACTGAAACCATGGAAGGCAAAACCACGAATAAGGGGGAGCTACTATCTATCTTCTCCTTTGTAGCTGGGGGGCAGATTTTAAAATATTAGAAAGTGGCTCAGCACCTTTGGCTAGGGCACCGGCCACATACACCTAGGCTGGAGGGTTCAAACCCAGCCCAGGGCTGCTAAACAACAATGGCAACTACAGCAAAAAAAATAGCTGGGTGTTGTGGCGAGTGCCTGTAGTCCCAGCTACTTGGGAGGCTGAGGCAAGAGAATTGCTTTAGCCCAAGAGTTTGAGGTTTCTGTGAGCTGTGATGGCACAGCACTCTACCAAGGGTGACATAGTGAGACTCTGTCTCAAAAAAAAAAAAAAAAGTGTTAGAAAGTAACATCGATCATCTCAAGATTTTTTTTTTGCAGTTTTTGGCTGGGGCTGGGTTTGAACCCACCACCTCTGGCATATGGGGCTGGTGCCCTTACTCTTTTGAGCCACAGGCGCTGCCCTGCCACCGTTTTTTTTTTTTTAAAGATTTCAAATTAGAGAAAATTCACTGATATGGTATATTGTTTCTAGTTCTTTTTCTGAAGTATTGCTTTTATTTGGTTATGATTTATTGGTAATCCTACAACACAAAGAAAAATTGCCTTATGAAACAGCTAGTGAACGGCATCAGCATATCCCATTCTCTGTGTGGGTGCGTAGGTCTGAATATCAGATAAAGGAGAAGTTCCATTGATAAAAAATCTGGGTAAGAAGAAATTAGAGAGAGACTGCCACATTGAAGGGAGATGCACATAGCATGCATAGGGCCTATATTTCAAAATTTTCTTTCTTTCTTTTTTTTTTT